TAATACTGCAAAGCAAACTGCAGCAGCTGTTAGATTAAATAAATAAATAAATAAATACTCTTTGATGCGGAAAATTCATTGTGAAATGGTAAACTCTAAACCGATGTGAGAATATTCTAAATTAATCTGTATATAAAAATTCACTGAATAATATTCTTTAAAAAGTACATTTTTGCTGATATTTTACTTAGAATTATGCTTAAACTACAACAGTCTGTTTAGACGAAAATTATGATAATTTTCTAATTACATGAAGATATTTAATTTTCGTTAACCTGCGGGGATTCTGCAGCATTGTTAAACAGGACTGAATGAATCACAAACGGGCTAGGGATAAAAAAAATGTAATTAACCTTCACCTATTTTCCGTAACTAGACCGCCTAGAACATTCCCATATTTTCGATAATGCCAGTAAAAATGATGATTGATGAAAAACGACAAATGCTAGGAGCTACACAGGGTTATTAAAGTTGTAGGCAGCAGCAGATACCAACAAATAGGCCAATTTCTGCACAATGCGTATGCTTTCTACAATGCTCATATTTAGAATATATTGCACCTGGCGTCCGTGTTACCAGATGGCAGAATTCAAGCAAACATGAGAAAGGGTCCGGTGTTTCGCTCGCTGAATCAGTGGCTGGCTGCCGTACTCAACAACTATAAAGTGTTTTTCAGCGTGTGTAATGAAGTGTGGCGCGTGTGTTACCGGTCTTTACCTTTCCTGGCGATCGTATGCCAAGGTCAGCAGAACGACAGCGTCAATGGACGTAATACGTTGAGAAACGGGAACGACTCTCCGAAAGAAGGTGTCACAACGGCTAAGCAGTCAGCAGCAGTTACCCCGACAATTTCTCCTGAGAGGTGAGAAGTTTTGTTCGTCTGACAATCAAAATGGGCTAGAAAATAGGCTGTTATGAATAAATTGTTTATATAAGTACATTACCGCCTATTATTCGAGGTTGTGAAAACCGATCCTGTGATAAATATCTCTACTGAATGTTAAGCCATTAGTGTCTGTCTGGTGAATAAACATTTAATAGCCGCAAACTGACGCATCTTCTCGTCCCCCTTACGATTTTATCTGAAAGAATATATTCATCTAGAAATTTTCTGTCGTAGGTTTACTTTATTCGAAGCAGAATTTTCATATTGCCTGTGATATTGCTGCCATCGTCGTCTAGAGCCAACAAAGCTTCTACAGCAGAATAGCATAGATTTATGCCATTTATTAATTTATTCTATTCACTTACGACTGGCAATTTTAAATTGCGTTACAGATTAATATCAAGCAAATTTCGCTGCTGTTACTTCAGAGGTCTACATTGCAAGTACATCAGCCACAATGATATGTTACCAAGTTGTCATTGTTTCATGATCAATTACTGAATGCCTTTGCAGGAGTCCCACAGAAGCTGCCAGCCAAAAAGCGTTGAAGATTATGCTAAAGAGGCGCTGCCGCTCCGTTGACAGGTTGCTAAAGATGCTCAAGAAAGTTAAAAGTGGAAAGCAAAAGCAAAAAAAACGCAAACGACGACATGCAGATCGACTGCTTGAATCTGTATCCCAGCAACTGTCGCCAAGATATCGCCGACAGCAACGTCCCTGGCACAACTACAGATTGAGAAGCCTTTACAAGATAGATTAGTTCTTTTAATGGCATTACAGTTGATTTTCATTTTTGTTTATTTTCATTTTACTTTGATTATTTTTTGTCTTTGAATAACAATTAAATTATGGATAGTTTGCACTATCGCCCTTAACGGTTGATTATATATTAAAAGAAATCAGACCTCTCTTATATTTTATTTAGGGATCTTTCATTTACAATGTTTTAATTAAACTTTAATTTAAATGTGAACCAAGAAAGTTGTGAATCTGTTTTTTTAGCGCAAGAACAATATGAACACATGAATGGTGATCCACCGTCAGAGTAGAGGGGGTAAGTTAGTCCAAACGACAGAGTGTCAATCACAAAACAGTTATCAGAAACTCTGAGGGTTTCATAAAGAGAAGTTTTAAGTTAGCTATATTAATTAAAACTAAGAACGAAGATTCACTTGAAATTAACATTTTCAATTGAGTTTGTCGAAGATGTTACATCACCAAATCGTTTACTGCATGTCAGGAACTCGAAAAATAAAATATGATCACCTTCCGTTTATGGAGAACAACGTGTTGTTGGGGACACGAAGACAAATACCGTTTAAGCCATGCTATGTGAACTTTAGTTAAAGAACCATAATTTTGATTTCGGATAAATAAGACGAGGACAACTAATGAGAAACGAATTCGACCAACTACAGTCACCAACAATGATAGCCAAACAGAAAAAAGCACGAGCATGTCTATTTGGGACATGATTGTGCCAAATGGTTCATTTGGTCCAGAGCTTGTTAGAAGATGCTGTGGCGCGAAGCAGATACAAAAAACGCTAACGTTCCTGAAAACAAAGTTATCAACTGCCATTCGAATCACATCGTATGAAAGTACGGTACTGCTAATAGGTATATGCATTTAAGAGATCTGGGCATTAACGAAAAAATGAAGAACTGTTACGAATGCAGCAAAGGTTTATGGAAAGAAGGACGTTAGAAACTTCCACGCGGACAAGTTACGTAAATAAAAAAAAAATGTAGGTCGCAAGAGCAGCAAAAATGCGACAGTTGGCAAGTAACATCAGACGACTAACAGATGATCGATAGACTTCGGCAGTGACGCATTTGCATCGAAGGCCTCTGTTAAGATGGCAAAATGAATTAAAAGATGAGGAATCTTTTGATCACAAAATGTACGAGATGGGCAAGCATTGGTATCGAGACCAAACAGTAGTGATACTCGTTGATCACAAAGAAAGATCAGTCAATTCTTACAGTTGTAATTGTAAATGTAACAGTTAATTACTAATTCTAGTTACCCAGATTAATCTACAGTCGCTGTTTTAAAGATCATATATCAAATTTAATTACAGCCATTTAATATAAAATCTAACGCCTATCTATAATAAATAAACATAAACAAATATACTGTTCAAAAACACGTCATAAACGCAAATGTGGCGCTCTGAATCCACCAGTCCATTGAATTCTATAATAAATCTAAACTAATAAACTTATCTATTCAAGGAAACCTTCAAGAAGAGCAGTGTGGCTTCCGGCCCGGTCGAAGCATCTCTGACCATATATTTGCCCTGCGCCAGAT